TGAGTCTAACGTTGGCCAACAAACTGGGACTCGGAGAGAAAGGGCTCTTCAATTGAAGGACGGCAGTGGTGGTGGCAGAAGTGGCCAACTGGTGAGTGGTGAAAACAGTGGTAGCGGCGGCTAGGGTTTGCTTTTGATTTGGGGAAAGAGGAATGCCGAGTTGCCGACAGCGGAACAGCCGAGTGGGAAGAAGAAAGAGGCGTGTTTGTGTTAGGGGTGTCCGCTGTCTTGGACTCTTGGTCCTTAGTCCTCGGAGAAATTGTATCTAGTTTCTAGTTTAGTAATTAGTTAAATAAGTAGGGGTATTTATGTAATTTTACACGGCTCGCGAGGCTCGAACTCGACTCGTATTATAAACAAACTAGTTCGAACTCGATATTGACTAAGCTCGAGTCGAGCGTTGACCGAACTGCTCGCGAGCAACTCGATTCGTTTGCACCCCTATTTATACATTTATAAATATATTTATATTATGTAATATAATACATTTATATATTTTTATATAAATATATTTATTTATAAATATATTATAAATGTATAAATGTATATTGTTATAAAAATATAAAAATTATAAATTATAAAAATACTCGAAAATATGTTTTAAAAATACATCAAAAAATAATCCATAAAACATTTATAGTAGAAGTTTGGAATATAGTTTTTGAAAAATAATTACAAAAACAACTAATTCAAACGGACTTGTATTTGAAAAACGAAATGCTACAGTGCTGTTTTTGAAAAACAACCCTAAAAATAGCTAATCCAAGCAGAGCCCATGTTTCCATTCCCTTTCTTGCTCAGACTACAAGAAGCGACTTCAAGTTTCAGCCACCAGAAAACAGCAGCAAGAACAGCAAGAGCAGCAGGAAGAGCAGAAGCTGCTTTCTCGATTAAGTGATCAGATATGTGAGTATCTGTGCAATAAGTAATAAAATACTCAACGCCTAACAACTACTAAACTAGGCAGCTTTAAAACAACTAACTAATCTACCAAGTAGGAGATCATTCTTGCACTTCAAATGTACAAGTGAGCAAGGTAACTTCATGGTCCATTAATTCTTCAAACTTAGCCTGCTCCTTGCTTGTATGGTGAATGATCAAGGCTCTTAAAGCTTCCTTCACCTTCTTGGATCTTGATCTTGTCATCGGACCATCAATGTTGACCAAAGGATCCTTGACCCAAGGTTGAAGTTATTGCACACCCTTATCCGCATCACTCTCTCTCAATTACATGTGCTAAAGTTGGTAAAAAAATTACTGTTATACATAATCTTGTTTTACTCAAAAATAAATACATACCCATGTTTGTTGTTATCTGAGTCATGAACAATCTAACATTTATTGAGGTACTGATTTTCTTAGATTGTATGTTTGCTTTTAACTTTCTTGGTTGTCTAGTGCAGAGTGATGAATGGTCCTATTGTATCTATTGTGAACTTGGTTCTGAAGGAAATTCCTTTCTCCAGGAACTTGTCGTTAGTACATTTATTGGTGGTGCATTTATCGGAAGCATAAGGTCTGGTCTTCTTGTGGATAAAGTTGGTTTTCAAGTAGACACAATACCTCTTGTTCTTGGTGCAATCATCAGGTAATTGCTTTCCTATGGACTCTGTTGGTGTTGCTGTTTATTTCATCCTGCAATATTTCAGATGTTTAAAAGTATTTGTCAGTGAAATCATGGTTTTTGTATTCAATTTGTCCACCAAGCTATACTGCCGGCTTGTTGGAATATCCACAATAGTGACTAAACAGTTGAATCTAAGGGAGTTGAGGTGTTTTCTCTAATAAGCTCTCATATAACATAAAGAGAAAAATCTATGTGCTTTTGTGCTACTTGATTCTCCATCTTAGTTTCATACCCCATCTGAGTTATTCTGCTTTCGTGATGATTGATCAGGTATGCAACGTTTTGGTGTGTCTATTTTTGCTTGAACTGGTGAAGAAATTTGGTGTGGCTCCAGTTTATGCAGGCTTCAGCAGATTTTCCTTGATTGCAGCAAACATTTGCTTATTACTTTACAGCTGAAACTAAAGGCTGATCTCTTGAAGAAATCAGGTTGTCATTAAAACCCAATTTCCAGGGTAGGAATAAGTGATACTGCCTAATCCATTGAGGAAAACAAAGAGAGAGACAAATTTATGTTTATGTAAAATGGCTTCACTCTCCACCATGGTTTCTAAAATTGATTCATGTGTTCTTGGTTTTGGCTGCTTGATCCTCCTGCAACTTCTAATTTTGTTGTCTCAGTAGACATGCAAAAAAAAGGTATTCTTATGAATTGTACAGTAGTTTGTTCATATAGATGGATTCTTCTGATTGTTTTAATTATGTACTTAAGTGTTAATCTTGATAGGAAATTTCTGCAAAAATAGTGAGCTGGATGGGTTAATGATAAAAAGTTACTTCAAGAAATACCTGTTTGTTCATCTGCCATTGTTCTAAAGATTGTACAAAGGGGCTCAATTTTTTAATGGAATGATCCTTCTTGATTCAAGTAGCAATTTTTTATACAACATAAAATGGTGGTTAAAAATTAAAAGGAGGTTTAATTTTAACACAAACTCCAATGAACAGAGAGGATCAATTTTTTTTTTCTCCAATGAATTTAGTCGTTTAATAGTCTAGTCAATCTCTTTGCTTAGTTATTCATGTTTTCCCATCAAAATAATACATAGTAGTATTTTATACAAACAATGAATAGGGACATGAATGTATTGTAGGCAGATTCGTCTATGGCTATCAATAATTTCCATCCCATTTCTATCATTCTTTTTCTTTGTTTAGCAATGTGATATATACGAGGTAGGAAAAAATGCAATTTAAAAATGTGTTGAGAGAATTTTTGTACGAAAACTCGCAATTCAAACAACGCAATAACTTTTGCCACTCTCACATATTAGACCAAATATTGTGTTAGTTTAGCTCTCAATCAACTTCAACATCCTAACAAATAGGCAATAATCTTCGTGATAAGCAATTAGAATACTATGGATTTGGAAGTTGGATTTCAAATATGAACAAAATTGACAAACAAAGTTGGTTGATGTAATAACTAACAAAGAAAATGCTTACATTTTTTTTTTACCAAATACATAAATTTTAAATTTGTTACTACGAGTATTTTCTATTAAAATTATTATACATATTGAACTGTGAGAAGAAATTCTCCAATAGATTATTTTGAAATTTTCATATATGCATATGATTAAAGTAGTGAAAGTGAAGAAAAAATATCTAAGCATAGGATAAACGAGAAAGAATAGAATAAGAAGAAGTGTCATTTGAGAATTATAAATTGGATTATTAGTTATCAAAGGTAATTTATAGATTTCATAAATGTAAGGGGTTAATTGCAACTGATCATTAATTACAGGGGGCTAAATATAATTAAACCTTAAAAGAATTTTGTTGGAATATAAGAGCAATTAATTCACTGTGGCACATACCTCACTTTCAAACTTTTGACCAAAAGCCTCCCAATACTTTCCACGACTTATTATATATATTTTATTCATCCGTGGATCAAAAATTAAAATTTCAAATTCCCAAAAAATTTTAGCTCAAAATTTTGCAGAAGAAGCCATGGCTTCGCCGGCAGACAACAGCGGAGGAGAAGACATTGAGCACGGTGGTGGAGTGGCAGTGGAGATGACCGCAACCGCCGCAACAGAATCATTATCACCTTCTTCTTCTCCTATGGAGGACGCGATTTCAATTTCCGATGAACATATTACTCCATTGTTGAATCAATCACAAAGACCTAGAGTCAACATCTTCTCCGTTTCTCACTCCAGAAGAAGGCCTGTTAAGGTGAATTTCGCTGAAAATCTTGCAAAATTTCAACATTTTGTCTGTTCATTTCAAGTATTTATGGAGAATTTTTTTTTTTGGCTTCAAACATTTGTTTATTTGTGTAATTTACAGTAGAAATAATGTTCTATAGATAGTTAATTACTCAAACGGAAAAAAATGTTTATTTATTTGATCAAGCCGAGCTTAGTATAGTAGATTTTTGGAGCTAGTATTTGAAATTCGGATATGTTTCTAATCTAAGTTGAACTTCACTCCTTAAAATTGCATAGACTTGACTTTGCTTATACTGGAATCGTATTCTTTTTGTTGTTGGGTGATCACTGTCAATTATATTTCTTGAGAAACTACTTATGAATAGGAAAATATATGTAATAGTTATTTATTTGTGATAAAGGATGAAATTTCAAAGCTTTGAATATAAGCTACTTAATTTTCGATTTTTGGTTAGTTGTGTTGAGCTGGCGATCAAAGTTTTGTGCTATTATAAGGTTGATTGTTTGAAAAAAAGGGTTGATTATTATTTGAAAGGGAATGGTTTTAGATCCAGTACTTTACCTGTTTGAAAGACGATGAATATCTGGTAGTATCAAATGCTGGATCGGTGGATGGTTTAGTAAGATGGATTTTATGGCCAAGTGATTCTAAGTTTGATAGATTATCAGGAATTGCTGAAGATTGAGCTGAGAAATTGATGAAGATGAGATGGTTTATATTCTTCCCATTGGAAATTCCATGGAACTTGTTCACTTTATTGGTTTTCTTCCAATACTTTAGGAAGCATAATTGACAATTTCTAAGTGGGAGAGAAAACATTAATGACGGTTAACCTCCTCAGATGGAAGCCCAAGTATCTGAATTTCTTTTAATCTTGTCCCAGCTGTTTAATTCTGTTAGTACTCTTGAAGGGGCAAATAGACTATTCTGTCATTGCTGGTGATTGTTTACTGTAGTTAACTCTAAACACTAATTACAATTCACTGACCAAAACCCTTACTGGAAAAGGGGAGTAACGGCATTATTTGCCACTTATTTCTACATAACTTAAAAGAACTTGATTACCTACTGAAATATCATTCTCTTTGTTTTACATGACTGGTGTTAGATTTCTAGTGGATTTGGGATATTGCTCTTTCTCCTTAAATTTAATTGAATGCTATAAGTAGCTCTTTTGTATCTGTTACTGTTTTCCTTTGATTTTTTTTTTTTATAGTTTTCTGATGTTGTTTGAAAATATGATGAGTCAAAGTTACATCTGTCTGAAATAGGAAGTATCAATTCTTGCAGTAGGATGAGTATTTAGTGGTTGGCTGATCATTATGATTAAATTGAAGCTTCAAAAGTCTTTGTTTTGGCTGTCTAGTTTTTATTGTCTTTTAATTTTCTTGAGTTGGGATTCTCATGTAAAGGCATTGTACTGCTGCTTGATTCTTGTGTTTTATTCCAATTTACACACATATATCAAGAAAAAAAATTTCTAGTCTTGTTCAGAATGCATCAGTGGGTAGAATTTGTTATCTGGTTGATGGCTAGTATTTCATGTGCTAATTTGGTTTCCCAGAGAAGTAAATTGTTTCTGGCCATAGTTTTATTGGTATGAATCACTTATGCTTGTTCTGCTTCAAATATGTTGGTTAAACATAGGAAAGGCTATTATATTTCTTACTTTTAGTATCTTACAGGAGCAAATAACAAGATTGGCTGAAACAGAGACATCACCATTCGTGCAGTTTACCGTTTGGATATGGGATGGTTCTAGGTACTCTGGTATGCTATGCATGGCCTTATCATCTATTATCTACTGTATCATGGAAGTTCTTTCAGATGTTTTCACTGGTAAGTAACTCACTGATTCAATTTACGAATAATAGCTCTCAATCAAACAAAAAGTTATTTTGAACAAGTTGTTAGTTGCTTAGCACTTTGAAGAGAGATCTTTATTTCTGTGGTTTCAATTATAAGCTTTGTGTGATTTATTTAGTTATCATCTTTTTTCTTGGTGTGAATAAACATGAGGCCAATTACATCTTCCTTTACGAGAAAGAGATTGGTGAAGATTTGTCCTCTCATTAATAACTTTATGTGATCAATGTAAGGAGTGAAAGCTAATCCTTCCGAACTATGTAGATGAAAATTTGGGCCTTCAATTGAAAAGGTGGAGTACATGATTCGGGCTTGAAGGTTCCTTATCTTTCAAATATGGGAGCTTCCCTCCTCTCCTCCATGACTGGCTGTATTTTCTTTGACTATGTCCCCCACTCGACCATGGAAAATATTGTATGCATAGCTTTAAATTATGGTGATGTCAAATAGTGGTCTTAGGAGTCAAAGAGTCAAAGACATTTAAGGCATATATAAGCTTAATTATGCCAGAGATTTCCTCTTATCTCCTTTACGTTGAGATTTCCTTCAGTTAAATCCTTTTTTGGTTTGTCAAAACTAATGGATTCTCCAGTCCTTTGATGACCATAATACATAGAGTAATTGGATGGTAAAATATCCAATTAGAAATATAAAGTTGAACCATTATATGAAGAGATGATATTTAGATGTTTTCATGAAGTAATAAATCATTAAATTTTTGTCTTAGTAAATGTAATTAACTGATTGACAATTCTTTGGTGAATTGACTGGATATTACTCTTTTTTCCTCTATAATTGCAATGTTTCTTTTTTTACTAGTTAATTTATTTTGTTTAGAAGTCTGAATACATCCTTTTCTTTTTTCTGCTTAATTAATGCAAATGTGGGCATTTCAGCTAAAGCTGAACAACTATTTACATATTTGAGAATTGTGAGAAATGTTTCAAGTTCAATATGCTGCTTTCCATTTAAAATTGGACCATGGATCTGCAAGATTTACGGTGCCCTGGCTCTATAAGTCACCATGTTACAGATTTTTCTGTTTTTAGTGCTTGGTCAGCTCTGCAATATTAGCTTCAACCACGATAATGTCCATCTTGAAACTCAATACAGATTTTTAATCAGAGCAAAGAGTTAGATGTTAGAATGGTGGTTTTTGGTAAATCTTAGAAGTATATTATGTAGCATTCGTTCTGAGTTTTCGTGATTACCCCTTTATTTACTTTGATATGAATCTCTAATTGAAATGGGTCCTTTTATACTTTCATCTTTCGTCATTAAAATGACAGGGTAATCTTTTCATTCAGGGCATGTAATGTCTTGTCTCTTCCCATGCTTCAAGTTGTGCCCATTCTAATGGAATAAATCGTTTTGCTCATCCTTAATGACAGCTCAATCAATTCCTCTTTTTGAGATGGCATTTACCAGATGTACAGTTATTTTGATTTTGTCGTTTGTATGGTTGAAAAGAAGCAGACAGCCAATATTTGGTACATCAAGTGTCAGAAAACTATTGGTTCTAAGTGCATTCATGGGATACCTGTCATTGTTGAGTTTTATTTATTGGTGAGTTCTAATGCTTGAACCAATTGAGTTGCATTTGGTCAGACTAACAACTTAGTAAGCTCAGCTGCTGATCTTGTTTATTGTAAATTTCTCTTCCATGCAGTTTATACATCATTTTAATAAGTGGAAGCATGATTTAGCCTTTTCCGAGGACTTATTACAGATTGTATCTATACTCTGTTGCTACAGAAGTGCTTCTTTTAAGTCTTGTCTGCAGAACTTAGAGTGCTTTTGAGATTGTGTATAAAGCCACTATATTTTTATCTATCTTACATTTTTACTTTCTGGTTCTTAAACATTTTCTAGATGTACACATGCTAAATTATTTTGTTTTGTCAAATACAGCTTTTGAGCTTACACAATATTACACACCACTATGCAAAAACTGTATCTGTTACAACGCTGCTTTCAGTTTTTCAAGTAGCACTTAGATCACCCTTATTGGCAGTTGGAATGATAATAAATCTGCTCATGTTCTATTCTTTGACTTTCTAAGGAACTCATTTGCAGCATTTTTAGCCGTTATATAATTTCTTTTCTCTTCTATTTTTTGGGTTGTTCGTCAGAGCTAGTTCTTTTTTTTTGGGGGGGGGGGGAGGGGAGGGGGGTTGATGTTCTCATTTGCATAATTAAATATTTTGTTCTTTTATTTTACTCTGCTGTTCCATGCGTTTGGTTTTTCTTTTTTGGTGAGTTATGTTTGTGGACTTTGATGATTTACTTGTGACAATGTGTGAGCTAATTTCCTTTTCAGCATTCAAAGAGTACCTCTTTCTCAGGCAATCATGTTGAACTTTACTACTCCAATTGTGGCTGCAGTTGCTGCAAGAGTCATATTGCATGAGAAGTTAAAAATTGCAGAAATAGGAGGTAATTTTCTTTGTTATTAGACATTCTACAGTGACAATATATCTGTAATTTAGGCAACTATTACATGTACTGCAAACCTATTTGCAATTATCAGTCTGTTGGAAGTAGAAGGTAATCTGAAGAGATAAGGATAAAAGTCTAGAAGTACTGCTTAGTAGGCCTTGGACACAACTAGGTCTTTTGAAGAGAAAAGGAGAAAAGTTTACAAGTTCTCCATGAAGTAGAAAATTTCCTGAAGACGCATTGAGAAAAGTTTTCAAGTACTACTTAGTACGACTTAGACGGTCTAATTGAAAAACGAAGTTGGTTAAGGAAATTATGCAATCTTCATTGGTTAAGATTAAGGAATATCGGATTTCTGAGTATTGAAATTCTTCTGGTAAAAGAGGAAAATGAAGCTTTGAATTAGCTCTAAAGAACAGGTAAGTGCGAAGTTTGACCTAAATACTAAAGACATTAGGCTTGTAATAACATCATACACTCTAAAAGAATGGCTGCAAAGCTTGAATTATAGCTACAAGAAGGGTCATCGTTAATTGGAGCATTTGGGATGCCCTACCTTGGGACATTGGCATCAGATACTACACAGAGAAATATTGTTGAGACCAGTTAAATCTGATTGAGGTTGACTTTTGTGCCTTAGCAACAAGTTATCCTTGGTGTTTTATCGATTGCTGATAGGACTTGATTCCAACCCCAAATATATTTGCGCTTTTAAAACCTAATCCAAGTGGACTACATGCCAAACCTAAAAAATACATAAAAAGTACTTCCAAAATTTCTGAAATATCTTTGATGCAGTTATATTGGAAACCATGCTCAATGCTAGAGGAATCATTAATATACTGTGACAGCATTACATAACCCAAAACTGTTTCCAATCTCTGAACATGGTTTTTTTTGAAGTTAGCCAATGTTTGCAGTAAACTTACTCTTCCTTAAATTTATTGCTTCATTCTGTTGATTATAGAAGACTTGATTTCTAGTGGCTAAAACCAAACGAAAAACATTCTTAAGAGCAAAGGGCAGCAGATGCAGGTCTTCTGCTTATTGACATGTGATGCAGTATTCTCCAATAAGAACTCTCATTAAGGCTCAGCGTCCGTTGTTTCCAGGGAGGCACCTTGAGGACAAGTTTCTGTAGGATTCCTTATTTCAACTCCCGAACCAGCTTTAGCATCAAGCAGCTGAATTACTAGATTTTTAACAACTGGGCCTCTAACAGATAATTCATCATTCATTAATCCTCCTACTTAGGCTGAATCATCAAACTCACCAATATATGCTTTCCCATGTTGCTTGCCTCTAATCAGAAAGCTGGTCCTCTTGTTATATAGGAATCTAAAGCATGCCCCAAAGATTCTTTTCATTGGACAAATGGTTCAAGATCTCGTTTCTTGTAAGAGCCATTCCACAGGGACAAGCAAATTGGAAGATAAAATAGGTCAATGTTACCTTAATGCTCAGAAAATACACCATGAATGCCAAGAAGTTTTAGAAGTTTTGTTAGTAAGATCATTATTGATGCAACAGTGGGGTGTTTAATTAGGGAAGGAATGAGCATAATTAGGGACAAGCTCACATTGCTGCTTTTTCATTCCGAATTTGATGTCTAACCATATCCTTGTTGCCTATGTTGAATCTGAAGATCACAGTGCATTAGAAGTGTTTACTAGTTAGTTGGGTCATTTGGAAGACTGTAGGAGACAAGTTCGTCATTTCCAATTTTTACTTCACCTTTGGGTGTAAAGAGGTTTCAAGTTTTCTATCTTCTGTTCCAGCTATATCTTATCTTTCATTTTGCTTGTTGTGTCCCTTAAATATAAATATTCTTTTTATTTTGTATTCCTCTTTTTTGTTCATTTTGTGTTTACTTTGACCCACTCTACAGGTCTTGCTTGCAGTTTCTTTGGCGTACTTTTTATCTTCCGGCCAGTGCTCAACATACAAGGTAAACAAGCGAGTTTGTGGAGCTTCTTATGTAATTCTATGAGACTGGCTTCTTGAAGAAGGAATGCAACTTATTAATTTTGAGTATCGATATTCCCATGTACCTGCATTTTCATTTTCCTTATGTTTGTTTCAACTTCTATAACAATGATCACATTATACAGAACACAACCTGTTAAACTGAGTCAAGTAAGCATATTTCTCTAAATATATGGAAAGATATATTTGCAGCTGTCATTTCTGCCTAGTGTAAAAGCCTGATGACATATTAAAAGCTTAGTGTACTTAGTGCATGGATCTTCAAACCTTATCTTAATGCCAACTTATCAGAATACAAAATATTTCTAGCTATGCAATCCTTATGCATCTTTGACATGGGTAATTCCATTTTATTCCTCAAATTTAGCATCCAAGAGTTCAAGGAAGCTAGATATTTAATTGCTTTTTAATTAAAAATAAGAATAAGCTGGATCTTGGAAATAGTTCTAGAGAAAGAAATAAAAAAAGTTCAAGCTGTTATCAAGATTTGACAAACTTTAGCGTGAAACTGGGATACTAAATGCAAGAAGTAATAGATACTTCTATGGCACTGTCCTAACTTGCCAGTGCATCTCTTTACACAGCTCAAATGCTTATACAGTCTCCATTTGTCCATGTTCAGTTACTAGAGTACCACTAAGATCACAAATCTCCTTTCTGAATTGTTGCAAGTGAACTACCTTTAAAAGAGAAGAAAGATAACATTACCCAGCTGAAGCTAATCTAGCTTAGGCTGTCCTTAATCCTTATGTAAATGTTTTCAGGGTTAGGAATATATTCGGCATGTTTGCTCCAAAGGATTCCTGTTTGAATTCAATTCCAAACCATTAATTTTGCTAAAGCAGCGGATAATCGGTGATTATTTTTCCTAGCTTACAATTTCCTGACTGATATTTTGCCACAACACTTAGAAGAGCTGTCATTTGTCATTTCATTTTGAAAGCTATGCAGAGGATTGCCATGTATTCTCTGGTAGTTGACCCATGAAAGGTCAAGAAAGCATTAGTTTTTTCTATGGTATTCATGGAAATTTTAAAGGTCTATGCTACTATGCAAGAGAAATCTATACTCTAATTAGTAGTACAATGATCTGAAATGCTGTAAAATCAGAAATTACCCAGGATCTCCCTGTTAATTAGCAACTATCCTGCAAAGCTTCTCTCAAAATTCTAGTTTTCTGGTTGCTATTATTATTTATATTTGTAAGAGCACTATTTCCATCTATACTTTTTAACTAGTTAGCAAGTTCCTAAATTTTTAATATCTTAAAGCCTTCTAAAATAAGTTTTACCACCATAGGCATAAAACCATTTAAGGATTTTCATTGTCCTCTACTATTTTCCTTGGGATCATAAATAAGAGGAGTGATAAAATTTTTCTGCACCCTCTGATGTTCTAATAGTATAATCAGATACCTTATGTCCTGCTTTAGCATTACTGAATTGTTTGTTATTAGTGTCATTTGTCCAACTTTTTGTGGCAGGCTCAACTGAAGCTGGAGAAGCAAATATTTCTTATGTCAAGGGAAGTAATCATTTATATGCAGTTCTAGTTGGTTTAGTTTCATCAACAGTTGGCGGAGTTAGCTACTGCTTTATAAGGGCTGGAGCTAAGGCAGCTGATCAACCTTTGTAAGATCAATGGTTTGCTTGTCTGGTTCATTGATTGATTTGTACATATTTACTTCCTACACTTCAGAAGATGGGTGGGATGAGTATAGTTGACTAGTGGGGAAATGGAGGGAGAAAAGAACTTTGGTTTACCCCATTTAATAAAGTTACATTTCTAAAACTTTTGGTCCTATTTATCAATGTATATTTTGCTCCTTTGGTTGTCTTCTTACATTAATAAATATACTAGAGTTGCTTTCCTATGACATTGAGAACTGTTATTTGTCTTTTTGGTTTGAGGCTTTAATCAGATAGACCAGTGATATTCATCCAAACAAATTGTGATGTTAGTTTTCATCTTGGACACCTTTGAAGTATACAAATTACATGAGTGGGTATGTCATAATTGGCCTTTTTATCTGTTCCCAATTTTTCTGATAGTTTTCTTTTGATGTTTCAGACTCACTGTCTTTGCATTTGGCTTATTTGCCACTCCTGCTGCAGCAATATGTGCATTCATCTTTGAAGTAAGATTGCAATTTGAGTTAAAATTTCTTATTGCTGTATGTTTGTATCATTCATTTCATGTTTCTTTATGAGCTATTGCCTAGATGTGTTATTACATGCAAGTTTATGGATATTTGAAATGATGATGTTTTCCAAATTAAATTGAAAAGGGTTGCAATTATTTGCTTATCTGAAAGCTATTGCATCTAGTTGCACCATGACTTGTTGTGACTGTCAAAAAAAAAAAAATTTTTTTTATCGAGACTTAAATCACTTGGGGACTGGGTAGGTGGTGAATGTGGTGCAAGTCTTTTCATATGAAATTTCAAGAGATCTAAGGTGCTTCTACTCCCTTTTTAATGTTACCAATGTGCTCTAATGCGTGATTTGTAATTGTGACGGCTGCTAGAAATGTAGTTCCTTTTTGTGTAATGAGGGTGTATAACTTTCTCATATATGTTGTTTAACACAATTTCATTTGGATGAGTTAAACTTTTAAGTGATTATTCTGTGCCATTAGTTGCTGACAATTTTCAGGTTTCATTTGAACTGATATCTCCTAAAACGCATTTAAAAAAAAAAAATATTCAACTGAGTATCTTTATCTTTCTCCATTTATCTTGTCTTACAATGTGCCCATGCCTTTTTAATGTTAAAACTGAAAAGTAAAGGTAATTCATCATTGGTTTCAAGCTGTTTATAGATACTATTTATTTCTTATATGCTTTTGCAAGTTTCTTTTGCTTTTTGTATGATATTTTGGTCACCACTGTATTCTAGTTGGGGCTCTCATTAGGGAAGTACTGTTTTTCTTTTGCTTTTTGTATAATATCAGTCCATGCACTAAAGGCATTAGGAAATAACAATGAGCGAATGGAAGCTACTTTAAACAGCCCTAAGAACTTTATAGCAAGGTGCTTAGGAGCTCAGAACTCACAAAAAAATGATAGAGAAGGGATAGCTCAGTATGTTAACCCCCTTCATCCCCCTCGTGGAAAAAAAGAGACTAAGGTATCTGTAAGAGAGAAGGATTAGTCTGTTTAGTCTCCTGCATAACAAGACTCAGTCCCCTTCACTTTTATTGCTCATGTAGTTTCTTTTGTCCAAAATATACACTTTCTTGGCTTGGGCATAGAGTTTGGGATAATTACTCCTATCTGCCGTCATCCTCAAAAAGATTCTGTGCTTTTGTGAAGACATGCAATCTCATGTTTCATTTAGGTTTAGGACATACAATCTCATTAAAAAGACTTATTGTAGACTTTTCCTTTCAATAATCTTCTCTTACTCTATCTATAGCCTGAAGATAGACTAGTGTCATGTCATTTTTTGTGGTTTCAAAAAATTCCTAACTGGTTTTGAGTTACTAGATTGACTATATATCACCTCCTAAATCAACAATTACATTCTCTCTGCTTATTTAGCACACCCTTGTGTAGCACACAAATGGAGTGTGCCTCAAGCAGTGGTAATAACAATATTATTAACTTTTCAACGGACCTGAATGCCGGAGTTTTTCCTTTCAACTATGCAGCTTATATCTTGCCATCACAAGGACAGAAATAAGGAGAAGAATTACACAAGAGCTTTTTTCCTTTTTTACTTTCTTTTTATAGAATCCTGACCCCAATAAATCATACAAAAAATGTTGCTTCTACTATGGTTGTCTGATGAGTGCATTGGATCTACTTGGTTTTATTGTGGCTTTGCTTGGTAGTCTATTTTTTCCTTTTTGCCTAACAGATTATAGCAATTTCAAACTTATTTAGTTTTATTGGCATAAACTACTCAAGTAAAAGCAAAATTCTAAGGAAGTTTATCAGCAGATAATCTTATGCCTTTGTTTACTGATAAAGCTAATATGAAAGTTGGAGTTCAAATATAATCAACAACTTGACTAGAAAATCAAATTGTATAAGGTACTAATGGGATGGTTTTGTTACTGAATGTAATTTAGAAAGCCAACATATACTGCCACATAAAAGATTAGAAAATGCAAGTGCAAATAAAAGAAAAAAAAGGTAGATTGTTGGAGTTGTAATTCTTACATGGTCACGGGTTAACCTCGAACAGCAGAATCTATTGTTGCTTGTCGATTGTCATCCTGAGATAGATATACCTATGGGCACATTTTAATCTTGTGAAAATTGTTTAGAAGGTCCTTTTATGTGCAAGAAAATGTAAAAGGTCAGATCCAATGTACAAGTGGAGTCTTTTGGCCATATATATTTACTCCGTAGGTAAATGCTGTAGCCTTTCTATTCTCTAAGTGAATTAAGCATTAAGATGACACGAGCTTTTAATCATATCTCTTGGTTTAGGTTCTTTTGTTGAATAAAGATTGTAATTTGTAATCTTTTGCTTCGAATGGCATGGACAAAAGTATGTAAATGATCGTCTGATGTGTGCTTCTTTTGCGTGTTTTAGACATTGCACTGATTTAAAAGACATCTGCTGTTTACCAACTACATGATGTATCATTTTTTATCTTGCTTTCTTACAACTATTTCTTTTTCGTGTACTCATGTAGGGTTTTGTGCTTCCTGGTTTTTATACTCTTCTTCTGATGGTGATACTTGGTTCATTAGCTTTCTTGGCAGAGGTCACTCTCTGAAGCTCTAATCCTTTCACATTGTTTGAATTTCAAAATTTGATCTGAAAACGAATTGTGGCTGAATATTGATCATAACTATTTCTTGGATGCCCATTGACACATTTTTCTCTCTTCAGATAACTGTAGCACGTGCACTTCAGCTTGAGAAAACCAGCAAAGTTGTGAATATTCTGTATCTTCAGGTATTATGTAGTGCTTCATACTGTACCATTTAGTCTGGATATGATGCAGTTCTTTTATACCAGCTGTCTCACTCTCTATGTGGTAACATTCAGTTAGGAACATGCAGTGTCTTTCTGATGATGTCATGATACATTTTATGGCTTTGGTAATTTATATATTAAAAAAAGGTGGAAACAAACTGGCCTATTATTGTGGGAGTTCTCCTGTATCTGTAAGTAGTTATGTGATCACATTGACTTAATGATTTTTTTCTTATTTTTTGGATAATAACTTTGACTTAATGACAGTATGCAACATTTGATCAGTTGTACTGACAGTATGTAATAACACTGACTTAATGAGTTTTTCCATATGCCTCCACATATACTCGAGATTCATATCTACGAGAATCCTTGAAAGGGAAAAATATGCAGTTGTATGCTTTCATGTTTGTGATAGTGTCTTATGGAAGTGTTAGATTTCTAATCCGCTCCGCAATTTACAAGCCGGGAAAGAAGTGTTAGCTAATAGGAAGTTGTTAGTTAGTTCAAACACCACGATTAACAGTGTAGCAGTTAAAGGCCCTGTTGTTAGCAGTTAGATGGAGTTTGGAATTTGGAATTTGTTGGGCTCTTGTATAATTATTATAGTTGCTGAATTGATATCCTAATTTCATGCTAGTTACACGACTGCATTTGAAACCTAACACAATATCTCTTGCTAATTGCATCCTCTTTCCTTCTCCTTGGTGTTGTTATTAGGCTGCTTCAACTCAATTGCTTGGAATGAGCTTATCTAGAATAGTTCCAACATTTGGTAGACTAGTTGGCTGTACACTTATCTTGATTTCAGCATGTTGTACTATGTACGTTGGACCCGAAAAAGAGGTTGATTGAAACATTTTGTTGTTGAACTCAATCTGTCGAGGATATATTCACCCCAATTCGGTGCAGAAAAGACTCTTTTGTGCTTGCCTTCATGCCAAAAGGGTTTCAATACCACCTGTGACTTTACAGCTCCTACCTGCGTATCAGCGACAGCTTTATTGTGCAAAATAGAGATGACAAGGATATCAATATAGACTGTACTATAGAATTTGTGACCATCTTGTATTTTTTTTACTCTGGGGGGAGTTTTGCAGGCAACAGCTTAACAACGTGCTAATTTTGCTGCTTGCTCATTTTTGCATCTTCTTGTCCTAATTCAAAACGATTTTTTAAGAGTCAAAAAATATAAAGATGCTGTTTCTTTGTCGAGAATTTCCATTAATGTTGGAATCATGATGTGTGTCTATACATGTCTCTATATATATATATATACACACATATACATATATATTGAGCACCAAGAAATCTTCAATCTGATGTTCATCTAAAATAAGATTTGATGAGTTTGCCTCTTCTCTAGATAAAGCGTATGCAGTAACAATCCTTTGCTATGCTTCATTTTGTCAGAGAAACCAATTTACAATAACATACAATTTGTTTGGGCAATTCTTATTGAAGTTAATTCATCTAAAATAAGATTCTCAGTATTCCCATCAGTTCAACAAAGCTAAGTTGGGATATATGACGCCAAAGCAATTAATTCATCGAATTATTCCACCAAAAGAAGGGGAAAAAAACTCGGTCAAAAAATCGGCAATGATAATGAGAGGTCTGTTACAATGTTGAGTGCCAATATTTCGACTACAGTGTTAATTGATAATGAAAATATTAGAAAACCATAAATTAAAAAAGTATGTTTTGAAATATATTATGGTTAGTCAATTGTTCAAAAATGCTGCTGAAATTAAGAAATACAAAACGAGGTACATACGCATGAGAAGTAAATAGAAATCTTTGTGGCAAAGGTTCGCTTGGATGCCATATTTTGGCTCTTTACTGCAAAGGCCATTTGTACTGACTTTTGCAAAAAGTGTACCTTTTTTTTTGGGTATATATAGCTGTACATCCCATGAGATACCACAAATGTGGTATACCGCATGGTAGATGATACCATTTAGTAATATATTCTATATAAAAATGCATACCGGCACTCTTGACAAACCGGTCATCTTTAAAGATTTTTTTTTTTTTTTTTTTTTAAATAAAGGGGGCATCATTCAAGTTTGCTTGCCATAATCTGCTACCCACCTAGAAGATAATCAGCACTGGGAAAGAATTGAGTGGTAAGATAGGAGTAATTGTAAGTAAGAAATCTTATATTCAAATCTTTTCACTTACGGAAAAAAATCAGCACTCTTGATTTTTTTTTTTCCCTTTTAAGGTTTCACGTATTTCTTTGTTTCTGTTTTTTTTTTTAAGAATTTGTTTAGTCACCAAGAGTGTTTAGTGGCAACCATTAATATGATTTCAAGTGTTATAGTTATTTTGTCAAGTGAAAGCAAAAGGTGTCTCAAACAACGTCAAGCAACAAATATAAACATGTATATTAAGATATTAATTTGAGTGTAAATTACAGGCACAAAGATCATTTGCAATGCTCTTTATTCTAGCTTCTTGCCTTTAAAATGATTATAAAGAATATGCAATCTCAAAAACTAAATTAGAAATTCTAAAATAATACTCCCTCCATCCCAAAATGTTTGTGATATTTTTTCTAAAATATTAGTCATGACATTACTAGAAGAGGAAATCAGGCGAATGGTGCACTGAGACAGTAGTTTAGATAAACAAATTGGGATGGAAGGAGTAATCAAATGGAGTTAGAACTTAGAAGGTCCTGATACCAAATGTAACGGAAGCCAAGCCAGTTTAGCCAAACTGCTGGGAAACCTGGGAGTTTTTTTTTTTTTTTTTTTTTGTCAATCGTCATTCCTACTTCTATTTTATTCTAATCTAACTATGGGACAGTCTAATTGGACCTACAGGAAATCGATGGGACAGAACCATCATCGAATCAATACACGGTCTAAATTTTTTTGAATAGGTAATTTGATGGAGGCTCCCACCCCACCAAAGCCTTAAAGGCTTGGTTTCAATTTCCATCAACTTCAACTGAGCTGCTGCACAGCAGTCAAAAGCCCCTCCAAGGGATCAAATAACATTAAAGGGGAACCAACTTTAATTACTTTACCTACACGCTTCTGCTTTTATGAAAGTTTTGGTAAATAATAAATGAAACCTTTGAAGGGCCTCGTACGGATTGCCTATATATGTTTTATTTTAACCATCACAAAGAAAGAACCAATATTCACTGTGAAAACTAATTTGCAAGAAATATCAACTAGGTTTTCTCCTAATTGTTTTTTTTTTTTTTTGTAATTTGTTTACTTGGTTACATTCTCGTAATTGTTAGTGAGTTTTTTATACAGTTAGTATTTTTTTTAATACAGTTAGGATGAATGTATTGATGTCTTGTATTTTGTTGATAAGATTATTTTTCGAACAAAAAATTTTATTTATTCAGTTTATGTGATGGAGCTTGCATCTTGCAAGAGGTTCAAAATTAACTTATGTGGTTTTTTGAATAAAAAATTTTTATATTTTTATGAACATATTTTTTAATTATCTTTTTGCTTCACATACATCAAATCGTCACAATACATTTCTCTACAAAACTACTAAAAATAGCTATGTAAACGGGACCTTTTTTTTCTAGTCATAGGATAGCGTGGTTAGAGACAAAGTGTATATTGGAGTTTCACGAGCAAAGTACCTATAGTTCTTTCTTTATACTTTATAGCAAATTGTAAATTTCAAAGTCATAGTTACTCTTTCCTCATAGTATGTGATTTATAGTTTAGGGTTAAACGGCTTAACATGAATTAAAAAATAAAGTAGAATTACTCCCAAGTCCCAACATTTAATAACGAACTGAAATTAACCCAAATTTATATCTTAAGAATTTTAAATTGCTTTATTTGCTTTACACTTTGGGTAATTATTGCATTAAAAATATTAAAGATATTACCCCAAGGTCAATTTAAGTCAAGAATTGCCTAAACTTGTTCGTGGAACACCAAAATGTTTGGTCATCCTATGTATCTTAAATATGTGGTGGACCATGAATTAAAATATCTTTAATACAACTTAAACTACACCATGAATTAAAATATATTTCCCCAAAAAATATCTTGACTTCGTTAATTTTAACTGTGCATGAAATTTTTTAAAGTGTTAATTACTCTCCAAAATTCTCTTAAGTGGTTGATTTTGATTAGATTTAATTTATCCACGTCCTTTGATATCTCAGCATGACCCTAAGGTAAAAAATATGGACCATTATTAGTTAGCAATTTGTTTTTGAATTTACATTTTTTTGCTTTTAAAGTTTTATTTTGTCCTGACTTTTTGATTAAATAGTTATTAAGAGCAAGGGTAATGTTGTTAATTTATGACCTTTGATAAGAATATTTAATCTTATCAAGTTGATAAGAGAGGTAAATAAAATTTTAAAAACTTGAAAGGCGCTGAATGATATTACGACAAACCTTAGAAGATGTTTAAGAAATTACCCTTTTCTAATTGGGTTAATTACATTTACCTCCCTTGAGATTTGACCATATTACCAATCAATCCCTGTAATTTGTCCAAATAACGGTCTCACCCTTTGAATGATCAAACATTTAACAAAAATCCCCTTAATGCCGAAAATGCCCTTATTGAGGCCATGTTGCATTAAAAAAAGAACATATTTTTATTTTATTAACCTTGAAGCAATCCAAAAAAATAGAAAAAAATTTTTGCTTATTATTTTATAAAAACTATATCTTTGCTTCCATAAATAGTTTTGAATCAATAATTATTTTAAATCTTAAAAATGAATATTAAAAATTAGATAAATTGAAAGAAAAATAAAAAAGAAGCAATTATTTGAAATTCTCAAGTATGGTTCGAATTTGTGATTCAAGGCATGTTGCGGAGAGCACAAGACATGTTTTCCTTAATTTGAACCATACTTCAGGAATTAAAATAATTTCTTCTTTTTTTTATTTTTCTTTCAATTTATCTAATTTTTAATATTCATTTTTAAGATTTAAAATAATTATTAATTCAAAACTATTTATGGAAGCAAATATATGATTTTTATAAAATAATAAGCAAATTTTTTTTCTATTTTTTTGGATTGCTTCAAAGTTAATAAAATAAAAATATGTTCTTTTTTTAATGCAACATGGCCTCAATAAGGGTATTTTCGGCATTAAGGGGATTTTTGTTAAATGTTTGATCATTCAAAGGGTGAGACCGTTATTTGGACAAATTACAGGGATTGATTGGTAATATGATCAAACATCAGGGGAGGTAAATGTAATTAACCCTTTCTAATTTGCATGAAAGTGTTCAAGAGGGACACGAAATTATGATGATGGGGGACCCTATCCCAACTTCTCAAGTACCGTGCTAAATTGTTCGCTTTGCATTTCGAGAAGAGCTGGAACAAATGAATCAGAACTTTGTCAGGAGTTCAGTTAATGATTTGCCAAAATATTAATTGAAAGGTGAATGGTCCCTTCTTGACTGTTGTCTTGAAATAATGCTGTACAATCAATTTGCAGAAGAGTTTGATTTTTCACCTCAATGACATCTCAATATTGATTTTGTAGGCTATAGCTTACTTTTGGGGACAACTAGTCTATGTTAAAGTACTTGTAAATGTACTCCATTTTTTTTACCTAATTGGAAGATGTTTTGTCCTATATTTACTAATATTAATTAAACTATAAGAAGAGAATATGAGCAGAAAGGACTAAGGGCACGATAGTCATCAAAAAAATCGCTCCTGATTGTTTTCGTCCAATTCAACAGGGTGTAATTTCATTTGTTTTAAAATGTAACTCATTTTCAATAACTTGTAACTATGAAACAAAATTTTATGGATCCATACATGATGTTAAAATCGATATATAAAATATGATCTGATTTTTACATTTTTTTTTTGGCTAAATCATGGCCATCAACCTTCAAGGACAAATGCTACATTCATCTAAATGTAGGATAAAATGATAAAAGTGTAGAAGGGATATTGAGGATTGTAATTCTTATTAAGATATTGGGTAAATTATTTTTTATCCCCCCCCTATGGTTGGATTTTTACCGCATAAACTTCCTATAATTTAAAAATTTATATATAATCCTTTCATTGTTTTGGTTAATGTGTCACTGTTAGCATTTTTTCATTAAAACTAACAGTCAATAGTAAAAAATCAAAATCAAGCTAATAAATTGAAATTTTTATCCATTCATTACTTCTTTTTTTTTCCCTCAAAACATAAATA